TTTTATAAAGTTTAATATATTAACTATATTGTTTTTCTGTAGTTCAGCTTTTTGAAAAGTTTGGTTCGAATGATCATCGGAAAGAGTTCTGTTATTTTTGCATTATATTAATTATACTTTTATTTTTTATTATATATATTATTAAACTTTTTGTATTATATATTCAATGCATTATATATTTTGCATTATACATTAATTTTAAGATTTAATTAGCTAATAATTATATTTAACTGGTATTTACTATTTGATAGATTTTGTATTTATATACTATTAGTAATAATTTAGCATTATAAATTTTAATGTTATTTGTTATTTACAATCTAACTAAAATAAAGTTTAATATAAAATACTTTTATTAAATGAGAATTTTTTTAAAATTGTCTTGGATGTTTAAATAACTTTACTAGAATGAAAGTTTTTACAAATTGTATTATGGATGCTGAAATGACTTTACTAGGGCAAAAATTTTTAAAAATTGGTTTAACTATTAAAACAATTTTACTAGAACAGGAATTTTTAAAAATTGTCTTAATTGCTAAAACGATTATACTAGGGCAGAAATTTTTAAAAATTGTCTTGGCTGCTAAAACAACTTTACTAGAGTAGAAATTTTTAAAAATTGTCTTGGCTGCTAAAATGACTTTACTAGGACAGAAATTTTTAATAATTGTCTTGGCTGCTAAAACAACTTTACTAGAATGAGAATTTTTAAAAATTGTTTTGGTTACTGAAACAACTTTACTAAGGCAGAATTTTTTAAAAACTTTATTAGGGCAGATTTTTAAAAATTGTCTTAACTACTTAAACTCTTTACTAAAATAGGATTTTTTAAAAATTGAATTGGCTGCTAAAATGACTTTACTAGAGTTGGAATTTTTTAAAATTGTCTTGGATGCTAAAATGACTTTACTAAAGCAAGAATTTTTTAAAACTGTATTATGGATGCTGAAATGACTTTACTAGAACTAATTTTTTAAAAAATTGTATTGACTGTTGAAATAACTTTACTAAGGCAGATTTTTTTAAATTTATATTGAATACTAAAAGAACTTTATTAGAGTGTAATTTTTTTGTCTAGTTACATCTGATTATGTAAAGAACAATTCAAGTAAGTAAATTTTTTTTGGTTGTACAAAAAAACTTTATTAGGCCAGAAATTTAATTGCTAATTATATAAAAATTTTTCAAAGTAGAACTTTTTAATATATTAATAACATTTTTTTGAAATTTAAAATAAAACAACAATACTTTAAATGTAATTTATTATTTAATTACATTTTAATAAACCTAATTATTAAATATATAATTATTATAATATTTTTTAATAATTGTTACATTCTTATTATTATATAATCATTTGTTTTCTTGATTATTAGTAATATTAAAAGCCTATTTGCAAGAAGTAATGTTATTTTTATTTTTTAAAACCTCTTGTGCAGTATGAAAGTTTTCATAAAATTCTTGTTCATTTAGATTCTAATTTTGTTCAATTTAACAAAAAATGAAATCATTTTTTATTAGATTAATAATAATAAAAAAAAGTTAATTTTAATATATTTAAATACTGTACCTATGCTGTTTCATTTAAATATTCATTACTTTCAGATAAATAGATTGGTAAGTCTTTATTATTATAAGCTAATGAACCTTTATTGTTATAATTTAGTGAGTCTTTATTAATATAAATTGGTGCATCTTCATTATTGCCAGAACTAAAAGTAATATTTTTACTTAATTCTTGTATTGCTTGGTTAGGTAGTATATAAGCAATTAGCTTATTAAAAACATTTACTAATGTATCTATTTTATGTTTGTCTGTTGGTTTGGCATAAGCATAGCAATCACCAAAAGATTTGTGACTACTAATTGCATAACCTGTATTTTCTAGTACTCCAATACTAAATAATTCTATAATACTTGTTCTTTGACCTAAATGATTACAAATATTTCTTGTTTCAATATCCAATCTACAGTTAATGCATATTGTTTTAAATAGTAAACAAATTGTATAATCAGCCAATAGTCTGTTTAAATACTATTTTCCTTTAACAATAGCTATAGTATTTTTTTTTGTTAAATTATTAGTACAGTAAAAAATAAATTAACAGTTTAATAATAAAATAGTTTAACAGTAAATAAATTAATATTACTATTTGGGCTATAACAAACTGAAAGATTTTCTTATATTAGCATTTGGCTCTGTAACACCTTGTAGATCAAATAGAAAAGGTATAATCAAATCAAATTGATTTTTATTCACCTCTTCTTGGTTATTTTTTTGCTGATTTTTTTTTAAAACAATACCATCTGATGTATCTATAATTTGTGATATATGCAAGTTAACATGTTTACTGCCTTTAGTCATATCTAGAATGAAAATCCAGAAAAAACCTGTTTTAATAGTTCTAAAAGAGTATTAAAATCCAGAACTTCATAATTTAAAATATGCTAGATTTTTTCTGTAGTTAAACTATCAGTAGATTTAAATTCTTCAATTCCTTTTTTCTTTATATCTTTAAGCAGGCCATCAAACTGTTTGTATAAAAAAAAATTTTATTCTTGTTATATAAATTATAACACCAATTAGGTTTTACATTTTGTAAATGCTAGTTAATTACAAACAATGCATTTTTTAATAATATTTATAAAAACACGACAATAACGCTTTCTGCAAATCCATTGCACAAAAATTAACAAAAAATTCGTTCGTCAAAAAACGCTTATAACTATTTATTTTACTA